AGTAAATATTTTTATTAGGGATGCACGATATTGGGATTTTGGCCGATATCCGATATGCCGATATTTTGGAATCCATGTAGCCGATAACCGACATAGATACCGATGTTAAAGCTGGACAAAAATAAGTAGTCATTGAAAATAGCAGTTTTGTTATCCATTTCTGACACTTTGAAAAATAATATACTCAAATATATTTTCATATGCTGATATCAAATTGATTTTTAAAAACGCGGTATCGATCTATTTTACTTTCAAAATCTCGCGAAATTTCATCGTTCTGTTTCAAACTCTCGTGATATTTTGCAAATTCTTGTGAGATTTTGTTATTAAAATAGATCGATACCGCATCAATATATCAACATATAAAAATACGGCAAAATTTCGTGAATTTTCGGTGGATTTCGTAGCATAACGATGACATATAGCAATATTTCATTAGTAAAAGAGATTGATATGGTGTTTTTAAATGGCAATATATCAGCATATGAAGATATTGTGATATTCTAATGGATCAATATTTTTTCCCTTGGGGAAGAAGAAGAAGTAGTATTTTTATTTTTTTTTTTAGACTTTAGAAACTCAGAAGCTGATCAAATATCGGGTTAAATATCGGTGGGGTGGCCGATGTCCGATATTCAGTTTTAAGGCCGATACCGATAGGGGGCCGATTATATCGTGCATCCCTAATTTTTATACTTTGGACCCATCTAAACCTATAAAATGATAATTTAAACAATATATTTTTGTTTTGGCTTAATTAACTCTTTTATTCAGCACCACTCACAACGTTTTATGAATCTATTATCAAAGATGAATGATGTTAAAGCAAATGTTGCAGCTATGACCTTTAAATTTCAGCTAATCACTCTGCTGTCTTTGCCTCCTTTCCTTCACTACATACACACAGCATCATGTGAGCGCATTATGGGGAGTGGCTTAAGAGTAAAGCATACATCACTCGTGATTGGCTAAAACATGGGGGATATTTGATTGGCTGGGAATCTTTTTGTTTTTGAGTCTCAACACTAAATACAGATACTAGAGGTAAATACCGGGAATTTTTAACTGATACGATACCAAGTAAATACAGGGTTAGTATCGCCAATATCAATACAATAGCGATACCTTTTAAACATTTAAGCTTTATGTATTTATTTATTTATTGGGGCAATGAGCAAAGTTTCGTCTCCTCTTTCTGTTTCTGTAGCTCGACGTTTTCTTGCTCGTGTTGGTTTTTCATGTGCTTATATAAACATGTTGTGTTTCCACTGCATTTAATTGGCTTTTTACAAACCATAAAGCTTGCCCTTGTTTCATTTACATTCCTAAAATATAGACAAACGCCGCTTCTTTCCTTCTGCATGTTTTTCTGCAGTTGTATGTGTCGGGTTGAGAGAGAGCCGAGTGGGCGGGGCCATGCCCAGTCTCCGTGCTGAGCCGGCGATGTAACACAGGCGGGCAGACTGGTCAATCTGCTGTAGTTAGTGCGTGCAGGAGAGAAGAAAAAGCATCGATCTTGTTAAACCAATATTGATCCATATCCAGACCAAAGTTGTTATCGATAGTATGGATCCTAGCATCCATCTGCCCCCCTCTAACAGATACATTTATATGTATACGTCAGAAATACATTTTGAATCTTATTCTATGCATGGATTGTGTGATTGATGTGAATTCTGAGATACTTTTACCTCCATACAGACCAGAACCAGGAGAGTCTATGTTCTGCTTAGGAAAAGAAAAAAACAGACTGAGGAGCTGAATTGGAAAGATCTCCAGCTGTAAGAATCTGGAGGTTCTGGTCCAAGGGACCCCATAACAACGTGTCTGACTGGAGGCCAGATGTCACAAAGCATCATTTTTATACAAATAAATCTTGAGCTCATTATAGATATTGTTTTCTGTCAATATAATTTTCTAAATAGTCAGATCAGAAACAGGTTTAAAGCTATCCAGACGTTTTGGTCTTTGTCGAAAGGTCAGATGTTCCTCCTGTAAACGAGCTGGATGTCTGAATAACAAATCAGCACTAAAAGAGTTTTTGGCTAAAATTCCAAGTCAGAGTTTTTCCCCTCATGTGAAAACCCAGAATCGGATCATGATTCAGCAAATTTATGCTCTGGTGCCCTCAGTGTGTGGAGTGATTTCTGCTCTGACTCACAGTGTGTCCGGCTCTGCTGCTCAGGTGTTCAGCTGCGACCAGCAGAGCGTTCAGTGTGGCCCCTCCGCTGCCCAGCGGCTCCTGCCGGTCCCTAACGGTCAATAGCAGCGCGGCCCCAGGTAGACTGCCGCGTTGCTGCCGTAGCTCCAGCTCTGAAGCACAAAATGTCAGGGACATGGAGACAAGCTGTGAATAAACTTAAATCTGCTCCATGGGTTCATTTTGAAAACAGGCATCAGAGTCAGTTTAGGGCCAAACATGTCTCTGAGGAGCAGGGGCCCCTTTGTCCCTCCTCTATTTCCACATGAATCCTTAGTTAATGAATCGGCCCCTGACAAACTGATCCACCTCCTGTTCTGTTCTGTGTTCTTTCACTTTGATCTTTTCTTCTAAAGCCTAAATTTTCTCTCTTCTGTCACCAATATCAGTGATTGCATCTCCTTTCAAATAAACCTGACTCATTTTCAAAAGTGATCTTTTTGGGAGATTTAAGCTTCTTAACTTTGACCTTCGATTAATTTCAGTAATAGATGTTAGTCGAAGAGAGTAAAGGACATTGTGTTTGGTTAATCACATAACACCCAAAGTTTTGCAGCAAAATAATCTTAACTGCATTTTTTCTTTGTGTAGAAATATAAATTGATTCCCGTATTTTATCTAATTGAATAAGTCAAGCCCTTTATACAATTCTTTGTGAGTCATTAATTAAGAATTATTTGGCAGATTAGAGGCAGACGAAAAAACTGAGAGTTCTTGATTATGAATGTGACACAATTGGAAGGAGTTTCATTAATTTTAATTAATTTCACAGCCATATAACTGGATTCCAATTGGACCAGCTTGCCTTGTAATGTGCCTGGCGATTAATTTGTTGTCCTTCGGAACTACATCAATAAAAAAAAAAAAACTGAATGTTGGAACTGTAATTGATTTACATTTGTATATTCACATTATCATTGCTGCTTACCTTTACCAATGCTGAACTTTAAAAAATGAAAAGTGTCTTGAGAGCTGTACTTAACAAATTTTCTTTTTGTACACACTCTGTGTGTACAAAATGATAAAATCTAAGTCTAAGTCTAAAACTTATCAACATTAATATAGATCTATACAAGATAAAGAAACTACATAAAAAACATTTTAATCAAACAATAAATTGGTTCATTTTGAAAAAAAAGTATATATATATATATATATATATATATATATATATATATATATATATACTTTTTTTCATAGCTTGCAATATTGTTTTATTTATTTTGTATTTTGGCGACACCTTTAGACCGGCTGGTGGAACTGCAGAACAACATTCAAAGATCGTGAATTTCACAGATGCTCCTCACCTCTTTGAAAAGCATACACACTGTCTTTGTGTTGGCAGGTGAGGACGACCACCGTCCATGGAAACTCGCCGGTCTGCGGCATCTCGTCCGAGCTGTGAGCCGCCAGTGGAGGCCTGAATCAGCCGGTAGTTTAGAAACAGGCCTGCAGCTCAGAGCGGAGTCTGTCTGACTGGTTGAACCGCTGCCACGAACCAGACTCCGCACGGAAAAGCATCAACGGCTAGTTAACCAAACTAACTAACAAACGGAGGAGAGGGTTAGAGGCTCTACGGATGAAGTGAAACTAAAAGAACATCATTCAGCATCAAAATGATATTGGTTAAAACTTAATTAAAGGGAATGAATGACGAAAAAGATGTATATTGATGTAATCGCGCCGCGGTTTAACCTTTGCCTGTTTTGATCGGAATGTTTTGACTGTGCGGGCTTCCGTAGGCGTTTGATTTCCTCTGTTGGGTTGCCCACCGGGGCGGTGGATCAACGCAAAAAGCTGCTGCAGTCCTGACTAATGGGATGGATTAAATACATTATATCTATATTCTTTTATTTTGAAAATGTTTGGTCGCATAAATCTCAAGATGAAAGGCTCCTCCATGTAAACGTTAAAAACGTTTATATCCACATAAGGAAATAATTCATAGGAAAGTTGTCAAACTCTTGGAAATGGATGTTAAACTGTACCTCGTTTCAAATAAACACAAGCATTACTTTTGGATTAATACAAGTATCCTCTTAGTTTTGTGACTTGTTTATTTTTAGGTTTTATATTTAGATATTTCCTCTATTCAATGTTTTTTAATGTGCGCCAGTGTTAAGAATACTTTGCTTGGATACAAAGTCCTAAAATAAAGGTTGCAACCTGCAGCTGTGGGTTAATCCAATTTATTCTATGTTATTCATTCAAAATTATTCAGATTTTTTTTTAATTGCATACAATAGATAATAGAAAGTAAAACATGGGTTGATGATGCAAAGTTTGTGGTGGTGATCAGAGGGCTAATTGAGCAGGCATGTGCAGGAAAGGCTTGAATGATGAAAAGTTATGTTTAAAGAACAGAAGCTCTACATCAGGCATCCCCAAAGTCGGTCCTCGAGGGCCGCTGTCCTGCAGGTTTTAGAGGTTTCCCTGCTTGAGCACAGCTGATTATGATGATTGCAGTAGAGCAAAAGCCTGTTAATCAACTATCAATTAAAAATCAGCTGTGCTGGAGCAGAGAAACATCTAAAACCTGCAGGACAGCGGCCCTCGAGGACCGAGTTTGGGGATGCCTGCTCTACATCCTCCCAACACTGATAAAGCTGCAGCTAGAATGGAGCATTAGGATTTGGGATCAGTTGTCAGGGAAACATCTGAACTCCAACCTGGGGTTCAGTTCTCAATAAGCAGAAGGAATACAGACCAACAAATGGGTTAGTCAGGATTGGGGATGATTTGAGAAAATGGAAGAAGTTTGTAAAAGGAATTAAAACTGCGATGATACTCAGACAAATCCTTCAGTTTTCCCGAGTCTTTAATAGAAAAAGCTGGACAGAAAACACATCACTGAAACGTCGTGACTCCCATGTTTAAAAAGAAAGTAAAAACATGTTTATTGAACTTTACAGCAGAATTCATTTGTCATTATATACAGATGTACATTAAAAAGCCACTAGAGATGCTCAGTCATCTTCCTCATCCTCAGTGGGCAGAGGTCTGGACCTGCAAACAAACAAAAACGTATTAAAAAAAATAATTAGGTAAACAGCGACTGGCATCCAGCTCAACTCACATCTATGGCAGTTCCAGGTAAGGTGAAAAAAATGCTACGAGAACGAGCAAAAGAGAAGTTTAAGTTCTGTTTTTTCCCCCACAGGTGACACTTTCAGTAAGCGGTTAGAATCGAAAGACAGTCTAAGAGTTATTCTACCAGAGATTGGGTTTGATAGCTGGACAGCTGTTGAAGGTTTGATACAAACCATCACTTAATTAACTATTAAATGATTGAAAAGTAGCCATAAAAAAAAATAAATAAAAAAAAAACATAAATGAGGTTTCTCTTGCATCAAGAGGATCTTTCTATAACATGAATGGCTAAGATTTTTTATTCAGCAAATTGATTAAAAGAAAGAAAAAGTACATCAACTTTTACTTATTTATTATGCCACCTGTATTAAACAGACTTTCTGACTTAACAGGAGCCTATTAGGTTATTGAGTAATTAAAAAAAGGATAAATATGTGAAAAATGTCTACTTTTCAAAGAACAATGAAGCAGGCGCTAGCTCTGTTTTTAGTGGAACCCATCTATCTGTTCTGGGAGAGACCGTTAGTCATTACCTCATAAAGCGTCTCAATCTACCATGCTAACAGCTAGCATGTCTTCTATCCTGTTCCAAATGTTTAGCTTAATTCCCTGCATTTTTCTATACTTGTCTCCTTCTGATCCCAGCAGAGAAGATCTGCTGCTCCTCCATGCAGGCCTATTTAGAAGAACTAAAAGAGTTTAGATTCACTAACAGAACCACACAAAGTCCTTTCTGGATCTTAGGATCCATAAAACAGTGTAAATAATCCAGACCAAAACCTGGATCCATTCAGGGTTCTGTTTAGTGAACCACTGAAAGAAATCCCCTCCAATCCTGTAGAAAGAGCCTTTAGATGACATGTTGGGAAATGGAGTCATACTCAATCCAACTTTAGACAGCTGTTGCTTAAAAACAAGCTGCTGTTTGTAAACAACAAGCATCTGTCCTTGTTTAAATTTAAAATAGCTGCATATATTCAGTTGTATGCTTGCTCGTCTTGCACATTACACGTAAAACATCATTTGGCGATTAAGCTTTCCCCCCTGAAGGTAAACCCATCTCTGTCCGGATGTTAAATAAAAAAAAAAGGTGTTGAATATTTGTTCTGATCAGGATGGGAGATGTTTCTGCTCTCAGCGGACACTGTGTGTAACCTAGAAAACTACACATAGAAAGGTTGTTTGGACAATCATTAGAAAGAAGCAAGCAAAGCATGTTGCAAGTTACGACAAAAAAGGTTTGGAAAGTAGAAACGCAACCAGAGCTTAAACTTTTTCAGAATAAAATCCAAATATTTCTGATTTAATCGTCTGTTTTCAACAAAAATATAGACGTTCAGCATAAACTTAAAGAATATTTTTCCAGATTTTAAAACATGCAGAGATTTTTTAACAGCAGCTGTTCTGCTACTCATAACATCTTTATGTTAGGGCTGAAACAATTGATCGGACCAAACTATTTTTGGAATATTTGTCAATTTAGTTACCGAATAACTGGAGTAACGAGACTGTAAATATTGAATTTAAGATCAAAAGATTCATTTCATCTGTCTCTATGCTCTATCCAGAACTCCTCAAATGGAAAAGTTTCACCTGGTTTGCCATTTGATTATTAATCAGGAAAAAAAAAAAATAGGACAGATTTTATATAAAATAACGTGAGCTGTTTTATTCAGTCAGATGTTATTTCAAATAAAACTTCCAAATATGGAAATAAATCTGCAGATTTCCCCCCCTTTCAGTTAAGTAAAATTGCCTCTAAATGAACAGGCAGCGCTTCCCAACCCTCGTTTGAGTCGATCCTGCAGAATCAGCTCAGTGTCTTCATGTCTCTACTGCTGACCCACACAGATCTGACTGGATATGAAGTAGGGGTGTAAATCACACCCATCATGGCGAATCGATTCAGCATCAATTTTCTGACCCAACGATTCGATCATTTTTGATACTCAAGAATACTTCACCAAATACTTCCACACAAATGACTTGAACCCCAGAGGAGTGTATAAGTCATCTTTTCCCTCCGCCATGACTGTCTTGCCTACTGTTTATGTGTGTGTGCATGCGGTAAGAGGGTAGTGACTAAAGGAAGTGAGGTAGGAGGGCAAAATAAGTTTAGTGCCACCGCAGGACAGGAGTTAGAATTACATCCAGGAGCAAATGGATAAAAATAAGACCGGAGAAAAAAAATAAATAAATGAATCGATACTCTTGCGGATGTGTCGATGCATCAATACAAAACGATTATTATTTACGCCCCTAATATGAAGCTGCTGATTATCAGACATACTTCCTGCTGGGCTTGGACATCCCGCTGCCGCCGGCCTCCTCCTCATCGGACTCTGTGGGTTTCTGATTCTCCTTCTCTGGTTTTCTGGGAGGGCCCCCAAAGAAATCTCCGATGCCTTTCTGCCAGGTAGGGGTGGGGCGAGGACACACAGGATTCCCGCCAGCGTATTTGTTCTTTGCTGTGAAAGCCAAACTTCAGCATCAGTCACATCTCATACAGGCAGCGTGTTCAGCTCTATGTGTGTCTTAATTCTGACTGACCTGGAGTGGAACAGCTGCTGCTGGATGACGACGCCGCGTTGGCCAAACTGGCGCCCAGCGACTTCCGGGGTGCAGAAGCTGCAACAGCTGTAAGACAAGGTCCGACAAGCTGATCAGAGGGAAAAAAATAAACAGACTAAGGAGATAAAAAGCTTTTCCAGAGAGTTTGAGTCTAACCTGGACTGTTCCCAGTATCCAGAACACAAAGAAGCACCTTAGTGCATCTAATATAAGCTCATCTAAAAACTGTGCTCTGATTAGATAGTAAAAACATTACTGCCTTTGAGAAACATGCAAAATAAAATTTGACATATCTATATATTAGATCATGTAACGCATTTTAACAAATATTTAATAAACTTCATTATGTCGCCCACGTTTGTAAATCAAAGGGAATTTTGTGAAAGGTTTGAGGCTTTACGAGTCATTCTAGAAAATTAAAATAATCATTTAGTACATGTACAAAATTACACAATCTTAATTCAACTCTTTCAGTTTTTGATTTCACCATCCCATGTTGATGCATTGCTTTGATGGATACTGGTTAGATTTCAATAACAGAACAGAGAGTGGTTAGGGTTAAGTTATTTTTCAAAATAACTTATTTTTGCTTGTAAATGTATCCCATATCTTTATGGGCTAAATAGAAAATAATCCATAAATAAACTTTAAACATTTATGCGCGACAGTGCAGTAAATACATTAATTAATAAGGGACTTATCAAAAGTATGCAGTTTACACCAACTAAAGAAAAATATATATTGACTTTTTTCACACCGAATTTGAAAACGTATTTTAATATATTAAACTACCAATTTTATATTGTGTTGCTGTATTTTTACATCTGGATACAAGCTGGAACAGATAAAACAATACATTTGCGAACGGAGTTTGGTGGTACCTTCTAACAGAGAGGCGCTAAAAACTGGCGCCAGTTTGGCAGAAAGCTGAACAGAACCAACACAGCAAATTTGTCCTGAATATCAGATAAGTCTGAATATTCATATTTACGCGCATTTATTATAGAAAGGCGACTTTAAAGGAATAAAACATGCAGTTTTATTCAATAAGGACCGAAAAGAGCGCAACCAGCCTCCTGTTGGCGGGAGGCGATCTAAAGATGAAATAAGCAAATTATTAAACTCACCAAACGTCATAATAATCGCATGCTGTGATTAATAAAATTAATTCAAACCCTAAGTTGGAGAATCTTCTAAACTTTCAGGTTGATGTTGGTTCGTCATGGAGTTTGCTTATTGTTCTTTAATCCGCCAGATTCAACGCAAAAATCAGGGGAAACTACTGAGAGACAATAATTAAAACATTACTTTATAGCGGTGAAGGTAAAATGGTTGCTGTACCTTTTCTGTATGATGCAGGAACACTGTCGGCTTTAGTCCTCACCATATTGGCGGCTAACCCTCGCTGCAGAAAGCTGTTTCAGATGAGATCACACCGAGTGAAAAGTTGCGTCCCGCCACCGTTTAAAACCATCTGCGGTCTTGGGATGGGCTTGGACAGAACCACGGCGCAGGGGCGGGAGATTTCTTCTTCTTATTATTGCCCCAGTTTAGCAGTGGCTGGCAAACATCGCCCCCAACTGGTGAAGAGTCAGAAAAGCACCAAGAGAAAAATAACAAAAACGACGTTACGGATTTTTACCACATTCCTTTGCCCAGAATTTTTTTTTACTTGCCCAGTAAAATGTTTGATAAATATAGTTTCTAATTTTCATTTTTGTATATATATATATCAATGAAACATGTTTGTTTTTTAAATATTTTTTGTAATTCAGTATTTTTTAAGTTTACAGGTTCCTGGTGTGTATATGCATGCGTCAGATAATGAACTCAAGCCTACATTACCGTGTTAACATGCTTTTCGATTCTTCCTGCACATTCTTTTCAAACTAAACTTTGCTTTAAACTGTTGTGTGCTTGGAAAAATATCAATTGTAATGTTAAAAATAAAAAATAAAAACTTGACAGGTTAAAAACTTAAGATAAATAGCAAGACAGAAGTCAATGTCACAAATGAATAACTTTTATTTTAGAGTCATGGTATGTTTATACAAGATAATACTATTAATATAATGTGACTTTTAGAGAATCATTATACATAGTTATTTTATACAGGGTTTCCACAGTCTGACATCATTTCAGAATTCCCTGACTTTTAACTGACTCTGGATTAGTTTTCCCTGACAAAATAAATGCAGCAACAAGACAATAATAACAACATAACAGGTCACCAATTTAACATGTTTAGCTCTATAACATTTAAATGCACCTCTCCAATGTCTAAGAGAAAAAAATGTAATGAACATTTTTTAATATATGACCTGCATCACTGTACAGAAGACTGCCATATGATAGCCATATTTACACTGTGCGCATGGCATACAATTATGCCAATTTTCCTAATCCCTGACTAATAATATTTAATCTAGCGTTATCTGGGTGGTGGATGAAATGGGGTGAACGGTAAAATAGTTGCTGGGTGTGTTACTGTACTTACATTTTTTTTTTGCCCTGTGGTTGTTTTTTAGCCTGCTAAGTCAAAAAAAAATGTGTCTGATACACGGCAATTCCCTGGGCCGTTTTCATCGAATGTTGGTGATTTTAAAGTAATTTTGAGTGATAAATAATTTTTTTTTTGCGATCATTGCACTTGCCCGGCGGGCAAATGCAATGGAATTTGTACTCTCCCGACAATAAAAAACTACTTGCCCCGGGAGATCGGGCGATGGTTAACATCGAGCCCTGCCTTTCTAATGTGTATATACATATATATCAGGGGTTGAGGTTAAGGTTTTTTCGCATTTCGTTTGCCCAGAAACAATTTTTACTTGCCCAGTATAATGTTTGATATATATAGTTCCTAATATTAATTTTTCTATATATATCAATGAAACATGTTTAAATGTTTTTTTGTAATTCAGTAAGTCTAGAGGTTCCTGGTGTGTATCTGCATGCGTCAGATAATGAACTCAAGACTACATTACCGTGTTAACATGCTTTTCAATCCTTCCTGTACATTCTTTTCAAACTAAACTTTGCTTTAAACTGTTGTGTGCTTGGAAAAATATAAATTGTAATGTTAAAAATCTAAAAAAAACTTGACAGGTTAAAAACTTACACTACTACTACTCACCAATTTAACATGTTTAGCCCTATAACATTTAATGCACCACTCCAATGTCTAAGAGAAAAACATTTTATGAAATTTTTTAATGTATGACCTGCATCACTGTACAGAAGACTGCCATATGATAGAAATATTTACACTGTGGGCATACAATTATTATTATTATTATTATCCTAATCCCTGACTGATCATTTTTAATCTAGCGTGTATTATAGTATAGATTAAATTCATCATCCAGCTGCTACTCTGCAGAATTCTCTCCCTAAGATCTGAATCACGGCATCTAGCGGAAAATCACGCGGCTTTTTCAAATCACACGAGAATGTGTACAAAACAACAAAAATGGCGCCGGTAACGCTTGTGGGTCGTTTTCAGCGAATGTCGGTGATTTTAAAGCAAGTTTGAGTGATAAAATTTTTTTTTTTGCGATGCAATGAAATATGTACTCTCCCGACAATAAAAAACTACTTGCCCCGGGCGATCGGGCAATGGTTAACATCGAGCCCTGTATGTGTATATATATATATATATATATATATATATATATATATATATATATATATATATATATATATATATATATATATATATATAT